ATTAATTAAAATAAATTAAATAACTTAGTTTTATTAACTTACTCTTGAATTAGTAAAATTAATTTTACACAAAATTTAAAAATTAAAATTATTAATAAAAATGATAAAAAATTGTTAAAAACATAGTAAAAACTGTTTTATTAGTTAAAATTTATAAAAATTAATAAAAAATTATTAAATTAAAATAAAATATATTTTTGAAATTTAACTTAGTAACTCCCTCTCCCTAATCCCTTCTAGATTTTTGGGTTTATTGTGATCTGTTAGACAATACATAACCCGAGAATAATGCTAAGATGCATAGGGTTCAACTTTGTCCAATTACAAATGTCTTAAGACTCTTGTCTAAATGTCACTTAACAAAACCTGTGCATCACATTTAAGAGTAATAAAACTAATAATATGTACTAAAAATAGTAAAAATTAAGATAAATATAAAAGTTAACACAAATTTATCTAATAACATGTAACCCACAAATAGTTTGGGTTGGACTTACCACTTGGTCTAATTGATTTTGTGATAAATTCTCCTATGACAATTTCTTTTAACAATGTGCATTGCATGGGGCCCAACTAGTATGATATAAGGGCTTACACATGCTACCTTTTGGGAGGGCTAGTTGAAGATTTAGCCATGTTGGTTCAGTTACTTTGAAACACTCTAGGTAAGCTAGTTCCTATTTGGGAGGGCTGAAGTACAATAACTTATTAGGCATTTTAATGATACTTAAAAATCTGAGGCCCGATACAACATTTGATCCAATTATCTCAGATTTGGATAATGTAATTATGTAATCGGATCAGATTCGAATATTGTAAATTACATCCAATTAAATAATTGAATCAGATTTGGATTTAGCCCCATTTGATCTGATTAAAATCCGAATCTAATTATATTATAATATTTATTGATTTTCATATATATAAATTTTATATAATTATATATAAAATTATAAAGAATATATTTTATATATTATATCACATATGAATTTATATATATTATGAAGGATTTAGTATATTATATTTACATTAATTTATTATATATAAAAATTGAAAAGTAATTACATTTTTAGTTTTTTTGGTATTTAAACAAAATAAAAAGTAATAATATGATGTCTTCAAATCCAATCAGATTCAGATGTAGGTTTTCAAAAGTCGAATTGGGTGCAGGTTTTGTTGAATCCAATCCGAGTCCGACCTGATGATAACCCTATAACTTATGGCTGTCCAAGGTGAGCTTTACATGAATAACCTATAGGATATGTTTGATAAAAAACCAAAAGAGCCAAATTGGTTGTTGACCATTGAAGGGTTTGTCTGCTTCAGCTTTTTGGATAATATATCAACAGTTAAACTAACTTAGCTGAATCTTCAACTCAGCATTCCCAAACGGACTCCTAAAGCCTATTTAATTGGGAGGACTGAAGTGCAACAGCTTTTGGCTTTTCTAGGTGGGCCTTATATGGACAGCCTTTAAGTTATATTTGATGAAAAATCTGAAGAGTCCAAATTGACACTAGGGTTAGAGGTTAAGGCTGTGTTTGGTTTGAAGAAAAAGGTAAGAAAACCTATACAAAGTTTGTAAAGTTTTCCTACCCTTTTCCTTCAACCAATCATTTATTGGAATGTCTTATTCAGGTTCCTCAAAGCATCTGGGCAATTAGTTGAGCGCCCGTTTGGGAGGGCATTCACAGAGCAGCTTCTGGCGTTGTATGAGCCAATAAACCTGGAAAGTCATGAAGCTTTGTTTAGTAAAAAATCTACAAAGTCAAAAATAGGCTTAAGTGAGTCCAAAAATTGACTTTTGGGTAGGCTCTCCCAATCCCAATCGGGCACCATTTCAGCTAGGCTGAAGTTAAATGGTTGATTGACAATCGATATGGACTCAACTCAGGGGTAAAATATAAAAACCTCCCCTGAGATTTCTAACAATCATAGTAATCTCTCCTAAAAATCTCCCCTGCATTTTCGGGAAAATTTCCACTTACCTCCCTCCTATCATTTCCCTACATAGAAAATAGTCGCCTAATGCATTAGTTTATTTAAAATACTCGTTCCACCTTGTATATTATTAATTTTATATGGATTTTTACTAAAATAACCTCAAAAAAAAAATTTAGCATTATAACTAGTCACTCACTGGCTCTATCGGAGTATCCTTTTCCTTTACAAATTACAAGAAAAGAATTTAATCTTAATGGTAACCAACATTTATCTATCAGCCAAAAAACAAAATCAAAACTTTGTTTCCATAATTCAATGCTTTTATAGCAAATGAGATCATCTTGATTGAACCTCTTAAGAATATTTTCTAATCCTAAACCTTTTAGAATATTTTCTCCCCATTGGTCATCAGTCCTCCTCGTCCTAAAATGGAGAAGTAAGGGAATTAATAAATAATAAAAAAATTGAAAAAAAAATATGCAATATGCACAAATTCAATTAATGTAAATCCTTTGCCTACCTTTGTCACCTTCTATGTCCATTCAATATCCCTTCCTATCACTGTACTGAACTACTTCCTCGCTAATCTTGCCAAATCATCTTGTATCTAGTTGGAGAATTGAAGTCAATCCATCTTATTTGTGTGGCCAATTTTAACTATCGTTCACCTCATACAACTTCTTAGCCCACCCTTTCAACTTGATGGTTGCAAACTGTAGTATTGGGGTCCTATCCTTGGATATAGCATTCACCTCTTGTGTCCAATTGACGATGTAAGCCAAGACTCTCCGGTGAAACTTGGCTTTGAATTCTGACCATCTTGATACTTGTAGTGATTCTCCACCCTTTGTTCGTTTGTAATCTTGCATCATTCCCTAGTCCCTATATACTTAAGCAGACCTAACCCAAACTCATTACAAATCTCTTACAATGATGATGATGATGGTGGTGGTGGTGGTGGTGGTCTTGGAAAAGGGTCATGGCGGGGTTGGGTCGAGGGTTACCCATTAACCCTCCACTTAAAGACTAAACTTAAAGGCTTCAACAATTTTCTTCTTCTTCTCAGTTAGGTTTTTCTTCTCTTTTCTTCTCAGTTAGGACTTTGCAAAACCACCAACGATCACTCCTGCTGCCACCGTTCTCACTATTTAGGGCTCGCTCAAGTGCATTGTTTCTTGCTTTAATCGTTGCCGTCATTCTTGCCTCCACCAGCAACAACATCAATCTATTGAACCATTGCACCATGATCTAGAATCATTGGAAAAATGAAGGTTTCGAAACGTTGTTTCAAGCTTATTGTCGGCATTCCTTCTCCCCGAGTTTTGAATCAACAACATTGATGTTTCCTTCTTCCAATATATTGATGCTGACAAAGGAACAGAGGAGAAGATCGACACCGATGATTGAATGGAGGAAGGAGCAACAGGGGTGAGCAAGATGATGTCAACGATTGAATGAAGGAAGGAGGAGAAATAGGGGCAATTGAACGGAGGAAGGAGGAGAATAGGGGCGAGCAAGATGATGCCGACGAGTGCGATAGGACCATCTGATCTAGAGGCACCATCGCGACCAATTTTTTTGATATTTTTATTATTTTGTATAGTTTATGTATTTTGTTTTTTTTTTGATAAATCATTTTAGTTGAAATATATAATGAGGATTGGATGATTATTATTTAATCATTTTTTGTGATTATTTTCTGTAATTTTTCTTTTATTCTATTTTTTGGTTGAAATATATATAAAAAATTTCATCATTTTTATGTAATTTTTTCTATTTTTACCTGAAATGTATAATTTTTGGAAATTTTTATTATCATTTTCTGTATTTTTGTGATTATTGTTTTTAGTTGAAATATACACTTTTTTGGATTTTATATTTAATTTATTATTCTGCAATTTGTGATGTTTTTTGGATGAAAATATATTTTTTGAAAAATTTTATTATTTGTATGTTTTCAGTAAGGGTTATGACTAAGCCTATAAACGGATCGAATTCGAATCGAATCAGGCTACATTCAAATTCGAAACTGATTATGAACACTTATTCGAATTCAATTCGATATCCGACAAATATCAAATCTTTGAGTTCGAATTCAATTTCGATTATCAAATCGAATATTCGATTTGATTTGAATTCGACTGATGGTAGTGGTGGCCGGTGAGTGGTGATGGCAGTGCAGCAACGGAGAAGGAGAGATAGAGAAGATGATGGTTTTCGTCAATGATGGTGGTTGTCGTCGAGACTACTATCACTGACGATGGCAGTACGACGAAGGAGAGATAGAGAAGATAATGGTTGTCGTCAGTGATGATGGTTGCTGTCGAGACTGCCGTCACTTGACCGCTATCACTGATGTTGTTATTGCCTCTTGCCTGTTGGTGATGGTGGTTGCTCGAGCGGCTGCGATAATGAATCAAGATTTGAAACTTGAAAGAGAAGAGATAGAGGAGAAGATAGAATAGATAGGTGATAGTGGCGTCGAGTTGCTGGTGTGGCCAGTGTGGTTGCTTGGGCGACAGCGGCAGCGACAACAGTGGCAAAGGGAGGATTAGGGTTAGGATTTACAAGGAGATGGAAGAGAGAAGAAAATGTCGAGTGATTTAGGGTTTAGGGCCGGTTGACTGGGGGTTTGAGGAACAGATTTCTTCATTTACCCCTAAGAGATTTTATTTATTACATTGGTGTGTATATATATATATATATATATATATATATCAGTTCGGATATTTATCGGATCAGATCAATACATATCCGAATTCGATTCAATAATTTAATCGGTAAGAAATTAATAGTTGAATTCGACCGAATATCCAATTCAAATTATCCGAATTCTATTTGATTGTGTCGAATCTTGACCCACTAATATGGGTGGCAAATGGGTTAGCGGGTAAATATGCGTGCGTTGGTACTCAACCCACCACACCCAACCCAACCCAACCCACCAATTTGCCGGTTGCCACCCCTAGGCGGAATAGCGGTGGATCGGTTTGAACCGGCACGGCCACCGTCTTGGCCTGGGCCAAAATGCCCCAAAATATAGGTGCGAAGTTGAGTTAGGGCTGGGCTTCTTCCGCGCTCCCCCTTCAAAACCTATAGCTATCGTTGACGAAAAACCCTTTTTCTTCCAGCTCGGAGCAAAAACCCTGCAACAAAGCAAACCCCCGTCTTCCTTCTGAGGAGACTCCATCTCCTTCGCCATGGTACTTTTTCTAATTTCTGTGGAATTCTAGGGTTTTCTTTTTATTGTTTTCCAAAATCTTGTTAGTTTCTGCTTTAGCTTGTGCTCGTATTTTCTTCTCTGTCTATTCACTAGTTCTTGTTCCTTCCGGTTTTTAGCCGCAAGGAGATTATATCGAGCTTCACCGCAAGCGACATGGCTACCGCCATGATCACTTTGAGAGGAAGCGAAAGAAGGAGGCTCGTGAAGTCCACAAGCGTTCGGCTTTCGCTCAGAAGGTAGATTTCCCGTCGCACTCTACTTTCCCTGCAACTGGTTTTTATTTTTGTATTGTTTGGGTATTTCAAGTCTCATGCTGTTTCCTATTCAATTTTCTTTTGTTTCCCGGTAACAGGCGTTGGGTATTAAGGGTAAGATGTTTGCCAAGAAACGGTATGCTGAGAAGGCGTTGATGAAGAAAACGTGAGTTTACTTTCATTTCCCGAGCTCCATAAAGCAAATGTTGTTCATTTTTATGTAAATTATTTACTTGATTCTGAAAGTTGTTGTTCTTACCTGCTTATTATGTATTCTAGGAAGGAATTTGATGTTTGGGACAAAAAAGGATTAAAGGACGTAGGATTTTAGAAGCTTCACTGGCTTTAGATTTTTCAGTGGGTAATCGATATAGCAAGTGAAAGAGGGAACTGAGAAATAGGCTTTTGGATTCTCTAACACAATTACGTTGAGTTTTGAGTTCATTTTAACTTGGATTTGGACTATTTCCAGAAAGGGCAAACTTCACTAATAGTTTTTGAAGTTATTGGACTGAAGGTGTTTGCAAGTGTTTTAGCATTCAAGTCCTTTATTTGCTTGTTAACATTATCATTTGTTTTTGTTAAATGCTGTTATCATCGTTATCATTTAAGTTMTTTTTTTTTTAGTTCATTACCATTATCATTTAGGTTTTCCTTAAACCCTTTACTTAATTTTTTAAATACTCGAGCAATGCCATGTTTTCATACCTTAGGTATATCTGTTTTATTTTTTCATATTTATTTATTTATTTTTCTAGGCCAATTGTGTAGCCCTCCACAAAGCTGCCCTTAACCCTAATGAAATTGGGATTCAATCCAGGTCATAATTCCATATTTGAGACCATAGGTGAACCCTAATACAGGGCTTGTGTCCTCTCTTTTTCTTTTTTCAGCCTGAATTTCTGTGGTTTGATGATCATTGGGAAGCCTTTCTTTGGCTGACATCGTTTAAGTAGCGTCATTGTTATTTTTTTATCAGTAACAGCATAATTTCATTTCATTAAAGAAATAGAAATAAGTGTACAAAATAAGGAATACAGAAGTAAATGTCAGTCAATGAGAGATAAAAGATCTTATCTCTCCTCCAACTATCCCCCTTAATTACAAGAGTGCCCAGAATATAGATTCTCTCCCCCACCCCTTGTTTGGCTAAAACATCAGCTAACGAGCTAGCACAATGTTTAACCCAATTGAAGTAAATTTCCATCTCCCTCCACCTGAGTTTCTTCTTTTCATTACTGTATATCCAAAACTTTGAATCCACTGATCCACTCCTTGTAACCAGCTGACTACCAGTTTGGAATCGGTCTCAATGACCAGCTTCCTAATGTTCAGATCTTTTGCTCTTTGAACACCCTCCAACAGAGCTGACACTTCTTCTCTAAGAGAGTCCCCTTCTCTGGCTGGTCCTGAGAACAAAGCTAAAATCTTGCTCTTCTCATCTCTGAAAAGCCCACCAATAGTCCAATACCAGAAGTACATGGATTTCCCATGCTGCTGCCATCAGAATTAAGTTCAACGAACCCTCTTTCCAGAGGGGACCAATGGTAATTAGATGGACTTAGTTGAGCAGGATTCAGCCACTTCCACTTTCTAAAGAGGAAAATGTGTCCAAGGACTTCAGCCAATGTACCACACTGATTATGATTATTTCCAACACATCTTCCTTTCTTTTCTCCTCTAGAAAGATTCTAGAGTCCCTTTCTTCCCAAATTGTCAACAAATCTGCCGTTCTTAAGCATCTCCGCATGATTCTTCTCCTTTTCTTTAGCCATAGAAAGAAAGAGGGAGCAATTAAGCTTTGAACTTCTGCTGGAGGGATCCACAGTCCACCTTCACCAAAACAAGGAAAGAGACTATTCCCAAATAAAAGTAGTGAACGAACAAGAGATAAGTAAGTGGTAGCAGCTTCACCATTAGCCTTGCACAAAATACACCAATGAGGGGATAATCACCAATTTGGTCATTTTCTTTGGCTTAAGTTACAAGTATTAATCTTTTCATGAACAACTTCCCAATAAAAAGCACCAATTCTAGGGGGGATAGGCTTACACCATACCTCCTTATTTGGAAAAAGAAGCAAAAAGCTAGAGGAAGGTTGGGGCAAAGCTTTGAAGGAGGAACAAGAGGAGCCTGAAGGGGTGCAAGTCTAAATTCGATTATCTGGCTTAGAGGGATGAAAGAATACTTCTTCCAATCATTGGAGTAAGGTGAGCATATTTTGGAGTAAAGTATCTCTTATACCCCTTTGAAAGCCCAAATCCCAATTGAAGCCATTTTTTTTTGAGTTTGAAGGAGCCGGGAATTTAGAAATGGTCCTCATTTTTTGGAACAAGGAAGTGCAAATAATGATGGCAACTGTTCCTTCAATGAGGTGGATTCCAACCAAATATGTTCCCAAAATTTGATCTTGTTACCACTACAAAGATTGTATCTAATAAAAGGAGTAAAGAGTGGTAGTACCACATTGATGACTTTCCAAGGAGAAGCATGATTTTCCCTAGTCAAAGTTCCAACATTCCCAACCATTGTCCAAAAGCCCATGAATGCTCATTATCACCTATGCCCACAATTTATCCTTGTCTTGAAGCACTCTCCAGAGCCATTTCCCCCAATAGAGCTGTGTTCCTCCTAGGTATATTACCTATTCCCAAACCTCTTTCATCTTTTTTCTCTACTCATCACCTCCTAACTAATCCTATGGTCCTTCTTCCTTTCCCCTGTTTCCCATAAAATGCCCCTAATTAACTTCTCTAGCCTTCTGCTTACACCTACCGGGATCTTGAAGATGGACAAATAATAATCCAATAGGTTGGAAAGGGTCAAATTGATTAACGTTGTTCTTCCACCCTGGAGAAAGGTACCCTTTCTTCCAACTGGCCAGTCCTTTAGAAAATCTTTATACTACTAGATTCTAGAACAATGCTTCTTTTGGATTAGCTCCTAGAGGTAATCCTAAGTAAGTCAACGGCATTGGGCAACATTGCACCTTAAGATGTCAACACACTCTTTAATCTCCCCATCTTCCATATTTATCCCAACTATGCAATTCTTTTCAAAGTTAACTTTAGGGAAAATTCCCGATTTTAGTACCCTGTACTTTGGGCCTAGTGCCACTTTGGTCCCCGAACTTTAAAATGCGACAATTCACTACCTGAACTTTCAAAACGTGACAATCCAGTACCTACCGTTAATCAGATGTTAACCTGCCATTAAGTGACATTTGAAAAAGACACAAATGTCCTTCAAATCTCAAATCCTTGCATCTTCCATTCAAAAAAGTTGGGGTCACGTTTGAGTGGGCATTCTAGTGACCCCAACTTTCTTAAATAGAAGAGGCAAGGATTTGAAACTGTTAATTTTTTTGTCAATGTTTGGATGGTTGATAAAGAAAATTAGATGACACTCGAAGGGCATTTGCAAATTGTAAATGAGTAATTGGCACACAATCTCTCCCCAATCTCTATCCCTGCACTAGACACCTCAAATCAGCTTTTAAGATGAGTCTACTTAAAAAATCTGCGACTACTGTGAACAGAAAAGGAAAGGGGATCTCCTTGTCTAATTTCATGCCTGGTAGAGAAGAAATCCTCAATTGTGCCATTTACTATCACCAAGTAGTGACAAGTCCTTAAACATTCCCAAATCCATTTGCACCACCTTTCTCCAAACCCATATTGTCTTAACACCTCAATTAGAAACTGCCAATCAACCAAGTCATAGGCTTTCTCCATATCCAACTTTCATATTACATCACTTTTCCTTGATCTCTTCATTCTTCCACACTCATTTTTTGATAATTGAAAGATAATTTCATTAAACAACAAGATAAGCTGTTACAAGCATCCCTTGGAGAGGCATGAGGTGCAACCTCTCCTAGGCGTTACATTGATACAAGAAAAAAGTGAGAAAAATTACAAACTTGCCCAAAATAGCTCTTCCCTAGATACCCCTTGTTTGGCAAGAAAGTCAACAAAAGCATTTGCCGATCTACCCGCCCATTGGACTCTAATCAGCATGTGTCTTGTTGACCATGCATTTTTTTTTCATAAGATCCCTATATCTCCAAGTAACTGAATCAGGACAGCCAACAAACAATCACCTTAGACTCCCCTTCAATCAGTAATTTCTCTATCCCAAGTTGGTTGGCAATCTGAATTCCATGTGCAGCAGCCAACGAATCAGTTTAATAAAACCTCTCCCGGATTGCCTTGGCAATCAATTCCTTGTTCTAGAATTTGTTTGTCTTGCACAAAAGCTCCCTAATTTGTAGGGACTAAGGAAGGAAGTACTCACCGGATTCTTAAAGACAAGACTTTACCAATTATCTTGTAAAGGCTGTTCACCAGGTTTATTTGTCTGAAATGCTTGGGGTGATTAGCTCCACCTTTTTTTGGGATCAAGGCAAGAAAAGTGTCCTTCAGTCTAGGATTAATAATTCCCCTTTCAAAGAACTCCTTAAATACCTCCAACAAATCACCCTCAATAATACCCCAACAGTCCTAATAGAATGCCATGGTGAAACCATCCAACCCTGGCGCTTTGGACCTATCCATTAAGGACACAACTTCCTTGATTTCTTCCTTTTCAAAAGGTCCTTTCTAGCCAGACTTTAGAATCCTCAGAGAGACAAAGCCAGTCCAAACCTTCAAGCCCAAAACTTTTGCCTAGAGGCCTTTTAAAGATTGATTTAAAATGTTCCACAAAGACCTTAGCAATCTCCCTAGGTTGGGTAATTACCTCACCATCTATTTCCAAATCGGACACCAAGTTCTTCTTTCTGCCATTAGCCAAGGCATGAAAGTATTTTGTGTTCTTGTCTCCCTCTTTAATCCACTTACTCCTTGATTTTTGCCTCCAACTGATCTCTTCCTGATCAAAATATCCTCCAACTACATCTTTAGCGACCACCTTAATTCTCTATCTCCCTCCTCAAAGGTACCTGAAGATTCTTTCTCATACAGGCCTTCAATTTCGTCAAAGACCCGTTTCCTTTCTTCTAATCATCCAAAACAATCTTTATTTCACTCCTTGATTCTTGTCTTCAACAATTGTAATTTCTGATGGAACAACATTTCTTTCCATTTCATCATTGGTTTGCTTTCCTCTCACCATTCTTTGACTTTTTGGATAAAACTAGGGTGGCAAAGCCACATTTTTTTGAACCTAAAATGCGCAGGGCTTGATCCTCTCAACTCTTTATAGAGTGTGATTGTCCATTGATCAGAAGTTACCTTTGGTAGAGTCCTTCGATACTAAACCACCTCAATGTTCCTCCCGATCCATTGAAAAAAGAATCTATTGAGCCTAGAGCAAATTGGGTTGAGTTGGAGGTTGGACCGAGTGACACTATGATGGAGGGGCACATCTTTCATCCCAAAATGATTGATAAAATTGTTGAATTTCCTCATGCTAGTTGTTATCCTTTGCGTAGGATTATTAGTCTCCTTTGTGAATTTAATCACAATAGAATTCATTCCCAATACACAAAGCCCCTCCCATAACCCTCTAATGGCACCTAGTTCTTCCCACATCTCATTTCTTTCCATGTAACCGCTTGGCCCACATCTCATTAAAATTCATCACCCATTCATTTGGTGTAGTCTTCTCCAAACTTGTAAATCCAAGAGTGGTTTGCCCCTTTTATTTGGCTTTCTTACATTGTTTGTTATCAAACGGCTTCCCACAATTTTTATTATTTATTATTATTATTGTTTTTGTTATTATTTTTACTTTTGGAGCCAAGTATTGTTTGTCAATCCTATACACTTATCTGTTCACAGTTATTTTTCTCCTTCAATTTGTGTGCAAAAATTTTTCTGTCTTATCTTTTCTTTTGCTGTCTCAACAGACTGGCTATGCATGAGGAATCATCAACTAGACGCAAGGTTGATGATGAGGTTCATGAAGGAGCTGTTCCTGCTTATCTGTTGGATCGTGAAACAACAACAAGAGCAAAGGTTTGTTCTTCGTAGTTCTGTTTGACTGGTATTTCATGCTATTGTTTTGTGCTTTGGTGATTATTGATGGTACATAACCACTCTTGCTGCAGACTTTCAGGTGAACTAAACTTGTTCTTTATGCAGGTTCTTAGCAACACTATCAAGCAGAAAAGGAAAGAGAAAGCTGGTAAATGGGAGGTTCCTCTACCCAAGGTAACTTTATTTAGATTTTATTATTTTAGAAGGTTCCCTGTAATTCTTCCTGCTTACTAATGGTTCTTAGCAAATAATGTAATACAAACTGCAGAATTGTTTGATGGAAAAAGTTCATTTATGCGTCAACTTAACTCAGCATTAATCCCAAATATTTGGGGTTGGCTATTCATTGAAAAAGGGGGTTGTCTATAACATCAACTGAAATTTTATTTTGATGTTCAATAACATTTGAAACACAAGGTACTAATTTATAGATTAATGACAAAATTCTGCTAAAAAACAAAAACTGCATTACTTGTTTTTTTATCAAGATTCAAGAGCAGCAACTTGACAAAAATGTGAAATCAAACGTGGCTATAACTCTATATGCCATAAATGAGTAATTGGCTCACAAATAAGTGTCAAGGCTCCTATGCTAGTGGATTCACTGTCACTCCATGAGATGCAGCTTTGGTCTTGTGTTATTCCTAAAGTGTGTTTAAGATTTTACTTTTCCTATATTTCCCTCTGCTGTGAAATGCGTATTTCAGTGACAGTGTAATTCTTTCTCCTTCAGGTGAGACCTGTTGCTGAAGATGAGATGTTTAGAGTAATCAGGTCCGGTAAAAGAAAAAGTAAGTGATTAATGTCTTCTCTGCTAATTTCGTCTTTTTCTTCTGAAGAGATAACTGAAGATTTTATTAAAAGAGCATCAAATATACATAGCCAATTTTCTGCTAAATTGTAAATTTATTTAATGATGCTGTTTTTTTTTTTTCATATTCAAATGCTTCTTCAATCTATTGAACTCTCTAGGAGTTCCTTGTCATATGATAATGCAAATCATTTCTCTGCTACAAGCAACACTTGAGTGGGGCTCCTTTTACTCTGTGTTGCTCATGTTGTTCTCTCATTCCTTTTTTTTTTTTGATAAATTGTTTTCTCTCATCCTTCTTAATGCAAGACATTCTTCATCAACATTTGATTCCTAATCCTAAAAAATAAAGAACTACAACTAAAATTACAAAACCAATTTCTTTATATACGTTCCAAGAATTTAGGACCCCTGGCATGGTAACATCAACTTGTTTGGGCTTACCTCAAGAGGGTTGGTTGGGTGTCCATCGGCAAAGCTTCTGGCCCAGCCACTTAGCTTGTAACAGTATACAATTGGGCTGACCTTGAAATGTGCCTCACTTGTGTGCCTAGGCATGCCTGAGGTTCAACCTTTCATAATCAAATGCTTTAAAAGGCATGGGAGGCATATGCCTCCAGGTGAGGCGCCCCCAAAATGCCCTGAGGTGTATGCTAGAGGCATTAATGCCTCTAAGGCTTATGTTTCAGGTGCATGAGGCATGTGCCTTATATGCCTTTTGCATGAGGTGTGCTAGAGGCGTGCACCTCATACAAAAAGATAGAAATATAAAAGGAAAGGAAAAAAGCAAGGGAAGGGAAAGAAAGAAAGAAAGAAAGAGAAGAAAAAAAAAAGATAAAAGAAAGAAAAGCAAAGGAAAGGGAAGAGGAAGGAAGTTTGGGCTGGAGCTCTGCCCCTGCACCTCCTCCTCTTAAGGATGCTTAGCCTTCTACGTTCTGAACTGTTTGACGCCTCCAGGTAGTGGGACACCTGTTGTTACATCTCTGTGTTTTAAAACACTGGCCAAAACATGAGGGGTGACCATCTAGACTCAATTAAAAGAAAGAAATGCTCTCAAATGCATGTAACTGTTTAACATGAGATTAACAAATGATTGTTGGTTTCACTAGTTGCCTTGAAGAGGAAACAAACTCATTAAATGTATGTATAGTTTGAAAATTGGTCCACGTATAGGAAGCTTGAAGGAGAAGAGGGTCAACTAGTTCTCACTTAATGAAACAATTAAAATTTCTCAGGCTAATTGTGATACCTTGACTCCTATTGTTTGTGTCTTCCCCTAACTTTATCACATTAAAGTTTCCCCTAAACACCAAGGACCCTCTCATCTCATTCTCTCACAGCCCCCTAATATCAGATAAGCTCATCTCAGAGATCTCTCCTTTCTTTATAAGAAATTTATCCATATATATTTGTTATTACTGATTCCATATCATTATCTTTAATTCTCATTTTCACTGACATTTTATGTTTCTCTACTATTTCGTCTAGTCCCTGCATTTCCATCTTCCACTTTGTGATATGCCCCCATACACCCCCAAGAGTGTATTTACAGAACTATAGAATACGAAATTGGCACTCAAAAAGAAACCATATTAGCATCAGTCTTGGTGTTTCTCAAGCCTTTCATCCCTGCTTGAGTAGCTCAGTCCTAGTTCTTTGTGGGACACTGCAAAATAAGCATTTTAGATGGATGGAGTAAATTGTGTTTTCATCAAATGACATATGATTGCAAAAGTGATGAACTAAACAGTATTAGTTGCATCTTAAGGACACATGTTTGCGTTCTTGAACCAAATCATTCTTGGGTTTGGAGAATAGTGCTTCCTTATAATTGCTCTTAATCAAGGGGTGTTTGTAGGGAATAGACAAATCATCAATCAGATTCTTATTGCCAATGAAAGCTTGGAGGGTTTTAGAAATGGAAAAAAAGGCGTAGTATGCAAGCTTGATGTGGAAAAGGCGTATGAGTTGGTGGATTTGTAAATGGATTAAGGGTTGTCTAAAGACTTGCCATTATTCAGTCTTGGTGAATGGAACAGTAGTGGATCACTTTCCTGCCATCAGAGAAATCAGACAAGGTGACCCCCTTCTTGTTTTACCCTTGTTGCAGAGGTGCTTGGGAAGTTAATCACTAGAGCAGATGCAAGAGATTTTCCTGTGTATTTCCTATCTGTTTTTAAAACCCCAGTGGGTGTAGGAAGAAGACTAGATCCTGGGGAAGTGGTTGTGGAGGCTGCCATTGGACAAGGATAAATTGTGGGTTAAGATGATTCTTAGCATTCATGGGTTGTCGGCTGAAGGTTGGGATGTTGGAGTGCTGGTTTGGGCTACAAATTTGTTTTTGATCAGTGGTATTTGGATCCCAAATACCACTGCATTTCGCATCCCCATTGCCTTCCACAACATTCTTCTCCTTGGAGGTGGTCTATACATGCTGTTCTACCTCTTTTCCTATCCTTCATCAGGTACAATTTATGCTCAGGGGACCTTGTTAAATTTTGGGAACATGTTTGGGTGGGCAAGTCACCATTAAAAGTTCAGTTTCCTTCTCTTTTCTCTATTTCAAATTTTAAGGATGAGCCAGTTTCTTATTTCTTGATTCCTTCTGACTCAGCATCAGGGTTTGATTGGGATTTGGGCTTAGGAGAGGTCTTAGAGATTCAGAATTGGACACTGTTTTGGGTTTGCTCCACCTTCTACAAGGAGTTTTCTTGGACCCTACTAAACTGGATAGTAGAGTGTGGGCTCTAGTTCCCTCTGGATCTTTTTCTTGTGCCTCTTTCTTTAGAGCCTTGACCCAACCTTCTATCAAATCTCGGGTTGCCTTTTCCTGTTGAAGTGCGGGGAAAGCCAATTCCTCCAAGAATCGAGGCCTTCTGTTGGGAAGCTTTTCTGGGGAAGATCAATAGTTCAATACTTGTGCTTTACTTCAAAGAAAAAGACCATCTTGGTGTTTGTCTCCTAATTGGTGCATTCTGCGCAAGGCCAATGGTGAGAACTGTCACCACTTGTTATTTTCTTGTCCGTTTGTTCTTTCTATTTGGAATTGCTTTGTTCCTTTGTTTGGTTGTAGGTGGACTCCTCCCCTGGACTTACTAAGATTTTTTGTCTTCTTGGTTGTTAGTGGGATGAAAAGGAGGAGAGGTAAAGCTCTTTGGAGCTGCATCAGAGCTGCTTGTTGCCGGATAGTGGGAAGAAAGGAATCAAAGGATTTTCCTTGATAAGGAGTATAAGTGCAATGTGGAGGTTGTCACAACTAGAGTGATTCAGTGGGTGAAATCCTTGAAAATGTTGAGTATATTCCAACAGGGTTGCTGCTTAATAACTGGAAGTGGCCAAATCAGCACCAAGGAAAGCTGTCACTAATCCAATGTGGCCTCCACCAGCGGAAGGGTTCATAAAATTAAACTTTGATGGAAGAAGTGAAGGCAACACCGGGCCTTCAGGTATTGCAGGTGTATTCAGGAACGAGGAAGGACAGGTCTTGGATCTATTCTCTGAGTCAATTGGTGTAGGAGATTCTCTTAGAGCTAAAATTTTGGCTGCTTTGGAAGGTTTAAAAAGTGCACGAGAATTAAATATTCACAAATTAATCATTGCTGGTGATTCAAGTTAGCTATCGACTGATTAGAAAAAGAAGAGAATGGACAAGGGAATTTTCTAATGAAAGGAAGAAATTCAAATGGTTTTGCAGAGGCATGGAAGTGAGATTTCAGTGGGTCAAAAGGAGTGCTAACTCCTTTGTGGAGGATGTCTTAGTCAAACAGGGGATAGGAAGGGTTCAATCTATTGGGCTTGTTTGTAATCTTTTGTGCTCTTGCTATCCTTGGGGGAGGGCCAAGGATTTAGAAGTCACGCCTAGGTGCTCAGACAAGGTGCATTTTAAGGTATGTGCCTCACCTAGGTCCTAGGTGCAGCACTTTTGAAAGGCACGCACCTAGTGTGCCTAGTTATATGCCTTTTTAATTTTTGCTCATTTTTTAATTTTGCTGGCTCACTGAAGCTCTGAGAGCCCCCTATTTGCTAATGTTCATCCATTCATCCTAGTAAGATATCTTCTTGAAAGACAATTAACATTATAAAATCATTTATTTTTGTGGAAAGACTAGAAATTTAATTTCACTCGCCTTGGGGGGCTTGGTATAAAAGCAGCTCGTAGAATCAAGAATGCAAGATGTTTTACATCACATTAGTTATTTGAATTAATGCAAGATGTTTTGAATTTTTTGCCTTTTTTTTGTATTTTTGCACCTTGCTTTGAAAAGCCGCACACTTTGCCTTGCCTTGTATCTTGTGCTTTTAAAACACTGGGGAGGGCTAAGAGAGTTTACCTTTCCTCTTGGATGCTGTAATTGTTGTTCCTTCTTAAGTAAGTTTCTGTTATTGATATTGATAAAAAAAAGTTTCTGTTATTGATCAAAGAAAAACAAAACAAAACAAAACAAAAGAAACCAGATCATTTTTGGAATTGCATAATGAACCTTTTTTCTATTTTTTTTCATAAAAAAATGAACCTTTTTTCTTTCTTGTTAGCTTTATGATTCCTGAGAAGCATAAATGATTTTTTCTAAATTAATTTCAGCAAAGCAATGGAAGAGAATGGTCACGAAGGCCACATTTGTGGGACCGGGTTTTACGAGAAAACCCCCCAAGTATGAGCGTTTCATTCGTCCAACCGGATTGCGGTTCACAAAAGCCCATGTGACACATCCCGAGTTGAAATGCACTTTCAATCTTGAAATCATTGGAGTGAAGAAAAATCCCAATGGTCAGATGTACACTTCCCTGGGTGTTATGACCAAGGGAACGATTATTGAGGTAATTATATAGCCTTGATTTTTTTGAGGATATCATTTTTATACTTCAATGCCATTTTGATTGCCCATCTTTGTTGAGCTAATTTTCTTCATTATGAATTACAGGTGAATGTCAGTGAACTTGGTCTGGTTACTCCAGCAGGAAAAGTTGTGTGGGGTGAGGAATACTTCTTGATAATGACTTGATGAATGTATTTTTTTCTTTACTTGGTTTGTTTCTCCTTGCTCATTTCTTTTCTTGATGGCCATGTAGGGAAATATGCTCAAGTTACAAATAACCCGGAGAATGATGGTTGTATAAATGCTGTTCTGCTTGTCTAAGAGGCTTTGCAACTATTTGCGGTACTAATTTGTTCTGATCATGTGGGAAGGTGTTAAGTCCCACTAAATGCAGTCCAATTTTGTTCGGGATCTACCATAAACCATGGTTTTGCAGTAGTTGGTTGTGTTGTATTTCTTCTCTTATTACAGAGTTGCTTTGCGGAGAATCTATCTTATTTATGTGAATTTTCTCTATTTGACAAACACAAGCACTCGTCAAAGACGTCAATGTTAAGGCTCCCCATCATTATACGTTGCCCTCATCCTCAATGCGGTTCAACTGTTTAAGCAATTTCACATGAAATAAATCTTCTAATTAAGGTTTGAAGCATGATACGTATCACACCGTGTTGTGCGCATTAAAGAGTCACTAAAGCTCAAGATACGAGGCATATTTTAATGGTTTTAAGAAGGATCAAAATTTCAATTGGGTTCCCCTTCTTTTTAATAAGAAAAATATAAAAAACAATATCCATCCATAGATAGATAGATATAAATGCATGGTTTCTATACCAATACATACTTTGAACCTTGGTTTTAAGTTTCAACTGTCAATATCCATCCAAGTCCAAACAAAAACCCATCGATAATATCAAACTGAAAAATAAGTTTAAAAAAGAAAACAGATATCGCTTTTATTCTGTATCGTGCATGTCAATATTTTAAAACCTGGTTGTTTCTAATGAAAGTCCCGACGGGGGGTTTCAGTTTCCAGTTTCCACGTTCCAGTGGGCTCGTGCATTCTCTTACTAATCCCACTAACTAGTTCTAGCGTACAGCAAATACCACCAAAATCCACAAAAGGACTGCGACTCACCCAATCTCCAGGTCCGTACAGAAAAAGTTCAGAATTCCTGCGTTATAGTATAGCATCGCCACCAATTGAGGAAGTTTAATATAGTAAATTATGTCTCATTGTCTTATAAAAGTTCAAGGGAGAGGGAACATTGTTTGTTGAGTACCAAGGAACCCACAAGTTATTCATTCCATCAACATGATCGATCGTTGATGAATTCAATAGTATGTTTTATAAAGCCAGCTGCCAGCCCCCTGTATGAAAAATGAGAGTTGGGAGCAGCGAAGTATTAAGTACCAAATCACCAGATTCGAAACAGGGTAGGCAGTAGGCACCGCACCATAGTCTTGTAAGGAAGAAAATAGTCGCTACCGAGCTGGAGCTGGAGCTGGTGGCACTGCACCGCCTGTGTCAACCACCCGAAGCCTGCCTGTTGCTAGCCTAGCTGTGAGATCCTCTACTGCTATCTTCACCACGTCCCTCCTCATGCCAATATCAGCCGCGTACCTGCTGGCGCAGTAGACACCAACTGCAGTTGCTGCCATCCCATACACATTAGTCGTCACAAGGCGCAATGGCGTCGACAGCACGGCTGCAAGCGGCCCACCAATGATCGACACTGCCTGGCCGCTCTGCCCAATTGTTCCTTGCTCAATAACCAGCAGCCCAGTCTTGCAGTAGATGGCGAAGTCCTCACAGTTGTTCTTGAAGAGACTATAGCACCCAAAGCCATTATTGAGCAAGTAGGTGGCACGATGGATCACGACCTCAGCTGGGTCTGATGCTGCAAGTGTGCATGTTCCACCGCGTGCTTTTGCGAGGAAGATAGCAGGATTCACCGAGTACTCAAAACGATATAGGACTCCACCGGCAAGGAAACAGTTGAGGCAAGAGGATATGACCCCATGGCCTTGATTTTGTTGGTTGCAGATGGAGCAAGTTATTTGAGATTGGGCTGGTCCAGAGCTTACAAGTAGGAGATCCAGCATTGTTCCGCTTCCCACCTCTCGACCTCGCCCTGGGGTGAAATGGATGACCTTATCATCCCCAATGTAGATGCCTGTGTTCATTAGGATGAACTAAATGAGAATGTTTTCTGGCTAAGATATACAGCAAAAACAGAAGAACAGTGTCAGTTAATTAAACTAAGCACATATGGAACCATATTCAAGACCTAGGGGACTGACCAAGGACAAGATAATGAAGCATCCAAATTAGTGGAGGCTGTGGAATCCTACCAAGTTCCAATTCCTTTAGGTTTTGATTATCTAAGTTTAGACTAACACAACAACAACTCCAAATCCAATTCCCAAGTGCTATCTAAGCTTGTAAAAACTTCCAGGCAACTCTCTAAAATTAAGATATCTCAGTTAATAAAATTGCAATTCAACTCCAAAAGATTAAAAAATAATACTAAAATCCTTTCTTGCCAAGTATCTAGAAGTTTTTCCCTTTGCAACGCAGCAACCCCAAATGATTAAAACAGGATTATAGTTCAATCACCACATAATCCATAACTATTTGCCAAATATGCCTAGCCACTCATCTTTATTAGTTGGATTTTTTTTTTTTTTCTGAAAACACTTTGGGAACTACTGCAATTGACCTGAGCTATGACCTTACACTGAACTCTCCTTTGCCCGCCTTCTATAGGAAAGAATGAGCTGGTTGACCTCATTAAGGGAATCCTATTCCCCATGATGAATAGAATCCACAACACCACATAACAAGTTGTGAATGATCCATTCCCACCCTTCTTACCCATTTTTGTTGTTTAATTAGATTGCTTTGATCAGAACAACTTAACTAACAATTACAAGTCTTGCGCATCAAAAAAAAACAGGCAAGCATACAAAAGCAATGAATTTGATGTATGGAATGGAAAAATGCAAAGCGCCAGTCCATAATCTTCACCTTTACTCATGCCCCACTATGCTTATATCACGACACAATGCATTTATAGCTCTTCAAATTGAGTCTAAGTGTAATGATACGAGTTTAAATTTGTTTTGATTTTACACCAGCCATTGGATTAGGTAGAGATTTAGTAGTGGATGTGGGATCCTTAAGGAGGACATTCCTTGTATAATAACGAGTGTGGTTTGCTTACAAAGGTGTTGTTCCTTCGTATGAGTGTGAGAGATTGACAGAAAGAAGAATACTCTTGAAGAAAGAGGGATTGTCAGAGCGGGTTGTATTGTAAATCACAAGGAATCTAATCATGTACTAATCTTTCATCTTTTTCGTAGCAAAAAAGAGAGACATCTCTCTTGTAGAAGTAGGTGAAAGGTTAAACAACATCAATCTCCATATTCTCGTGTTTTTATTCTGGATTTGTTTACATCGGTGTGCCTATAGGTAAAATTTTATTCTAGTTGCAAGTTAGCTACGCCCATGCCTCTTTCAATTCTTTACACCTGGACTGGAAAAATCCAGGTTCAACGCCTTAACTTGTTTTCATTGTAATTTCATTTGCATCAGTAAAAGTGCATGGAAGTAAAAATTAAAAAAGTGTAAATTCTTGATTGGCCTTTGCTTTGGGTTTCATGTAGTCCATTTACAAAGCAAACAAACAAAACAAAGTGAAATTTAAAACAAAAATATACCATTATTTGCATTCAACTCATTTGCACACCCATAGTTTTGCACCAGTGCAAATAAAATTGCATTGCAGACAAACCAGGTCTATGGTGTATAAGGTGGCATAAAACTTTATGGCTGCTCCCTCAACACTAGAAACCTATTCACTTTGTGCTACCATAGAAACACCAAATTAAAGGTGAGGAAATGAGAGTTAAGCAAGGAGGTTTGCATCATTAATCACTAAAAGGTAATTCCAAATGAGCTTGTTTTAGTAAAGAAGGGGAATTTACTTAAAAACCTACTAAATTCATGAGAACACTACATGTATTCAGAGAAAAAAAACAATATAAAAAACAAGCTTTTTCCGATATCATGTTCAAACTCTATAACAAATAATAGAAGGAAGAAAAAAAAAATCAAGAAAGTAGAGAGAGAAAGAGAGAGAGAGAGAGAGAGAGAGAGAGAGAGAGAGAGAGAACCGTGGTGTGTGTAGACATAGGCTGTCCTCCATGAATAAATGTGATCCCCTGGTTTTAGGCTCCTTCTATCAATCCTGTTTAATATGTTCGGAGAAATTTAAAAAATAAAAAAATCAGAAAATATAAATAGAATAGAATTTCCATTTCCAATACCTGTTAGAGAGCAGCCCCATATGATCTTCCCCTCTTTCTGTGTTTCTCCCCCTCCTTCCCTCCTTTTTTCTTCTATTTCTTCTTCGTCTGCAAATGAAAAGAGCGAGACCCAGTAACGGAAAGTAACCCGCCTTAAATTTTGCCGCGCGAATAAATTCCAAAAGACTTCACAGAAAGCAAAAAAGCAAGCAAAGCAGAAAGCACCGCTGCCACCATGGAGTGAGAACAAAATAAAGGAGTCTATGGATGGTGAGCAAGTACTATGGGCCCACGTTGACATCTCTCTCTTATCCACACGATCAAGTCAACGAGATTATCTCAGCCGTTAATAATGTGGGTTAGAGTTGTTTGACCAGGAGAATCCAAAAATGAATGGCTAAATTTAGGGCTATGACTATGAGATCTCATTTGTGGGGTCCTGATGTGTAATTAGTTGGTGCTGCGATTTTATTTTATATAATGAAGTACTTAATTATTCACTAAGTTTGATTAGATTAATATTAATTAAAATATATTATATTTATAAATTAGAATAAACAAGATGGCATAAGATTCTTTCTTAGGAATATATTATCCGTATCCACTTTAATTTTTTATCCTATAAAAGCTTGAAAATACCAATGCATGCATCCTATTGATCGAATCGTGCATAGTGGGCCCTATATTGGGAACATCTCCCGTGAATAATAACTTATAAGTATGCGGTCTCATTCAACCATAGCTTTTACATGGTTTGGGCCTGAATTTTAAGACAGAGCTTGAAAAAAGATTTTGGGCCTGACCCAAAGTCGGATTAGGTTTGGGCTTTGGGTAGCCCAAACCCAACCCAAGATCAGTCAAGCCCAACCTAAGCCTGACTCGAATTTGGTCAAGTTCAACCCAAGCTCGATCCCTAAAATATGTAAGGAATTAAGGCCGCAACTTTGGTTGGGTTTGTCCAAGTCCAACCAAAAAGTCGGGTTGAAGTTCGAGTTAGAGTTAGGGTTGGGAGTTGAAAAGTCTGAATTTGATCAAATTTTGGGTTGGGTTGGGTTAGGGTTGATGCCTTGGCCAACCCAAACCTGATTTAGCTTTATATTTGTACGTAAAAATTTTTTGTAAATGTTTATTTATATAAGTACTTATATACAAGGTCCAAAATATCGATACAGGGCGATACGATGATAGGGCGTATTGGTACTGTTTTTAAGTGTTTTTTTTTCGAAACTGGTTCAGAGGGGCTGGTTTAAGGCCGGTCTACCCTCTAAAGCACTCGCAGACCTGAAACACCCCTTATAGGGGCATATTGGGAAGGCTCTGATACAATACGCATCGGCCGATATGTGACAGAATTTTGAACCTTGCTTATATATATGTATGTATGCATATGGTATGTATGTATATATGCATTTATATATCCGTAAATGTATTTATTTATTTATGTATCTATTTATATGTATGCATATATGTATATATGTATTCCACCAGGCCCAACTTGCACCTCTATAGGGTTTGCTACGTGTCTTATGTGATCTCTCTAGGATGAGATTTCCTTTCATCCGAGAATTTTCATAATACAAGTATGCTACTTCCTTTTGTGGGTCTCGTATACTAACATGGCATGGATGATGCCAACGTTAGTCTTACGTGTCTCCCTTAATCCTATTGGGCGTCCTGTCACCAGTGACATTGGTCTAGTCATTATATTCTTCGACCGTCGCCAATTTGCGATGGTTTTGAGCTCATCGCAAGTTCACAATGGCTCTGAGCTCATCGCAGGTCCATGGCGACTTCAACTTCGTCGTCGATGCTATGGCTTTGAGTTCATCGCAAATTTGCATAGGCTCTATGCTTATCGCAAATCTGTACCAAGTTGTGAACTCGTCGTAGGTGTTTTTGTAACATTGGTTTAGCACCTTCTGTGCTATTGCAACCGTGGTGAACAACATGTACCTACAACTAGCAAAGCTTACGTAGAGTTTAGGGTAGAATTGCAATGGGGACGAGCTTCAATGAACCTACGATGGGGGAAACATGTCAAGAGTATGCAATAGGAGGCTGTGACATAATGCTCCATCAGTCCATCGTGGTGTTCTTTTGCAATGAAATATGAAAAGGATGGTAAGCATATTTTTGGGGGGCAACTTGAGCTAGAAACTTAGTGCTGCTACATTAATGTCTTGTCACACCACTGTTACTTATGCATTGGTTGCATGTACAGGGTCATGATAGGTCACTCATCATGGATAATGCAATGTCTATTTCCATGTACTTACATTAGCCCCCCTGACTTAGAGACATAAGTATTTCTATTTTTAAGCAAAGGTTTTTGGGTCTGGTTATTTTGTTGTTTGTCTATCTTAATGTATCCCCCTTGCTTATTGATAGAAGTATTTTTGTTAGTAAGAAAGTATCTTGGTTATGATGTGGATGAGGTATTGACTAGGTCAAGTGTGCAATGGGAAGCCCTCTAATTCTGAGGGTCACAAATATTTTGATACAATGTTTGACATTAGTAGTAAGTGTGCACATGTCAATTCTAGCTGATGATAATTATGATAATAATATATCCAAAATTTTCTATAAACTTTATGTGTTTTTTATTTTTTGTTTTTTACTATCAATCAATAGATTGCAAAATCCAAATCTGATTACATAAACACCTCATCCAAATATGTGATAATCAAATCAAATTGTGAAGTTTCAAGTATCATTAATAGGTCTACCCGCTTGGTTAGACTCTTCTTTTTGTATTGTTTTATCTTTTTGGTGTATCGTTTTTCTTTTGTTCATTTATTAAAAAATGTAAGATTTAAATAAAGGGAATTGAATAAGGTGAAAAGCAATGATTCAATTTATAATTTAAACTTTTCAATTAAATAAGGGCTAAATTCAAAAATGAGTATTTTAGTCACTGTTTAAAAATTGGACCAAATTGGATGGTTGAACCATTTGGCTTGGAAATTGGTCAGGTCACTGATTCTACTTTGGCCCTGAACTGTTTTTTTATAAAAAAATGTTGAAATGGTTAGAGAACCGCTAACCCGAATGGTTTCACCATTAAAATGTTCGACCCGATTAATAGTTCATGGGTTGCTTTCAAACTAATTCCAAATTTTTTTATTTTAAAATAAAAATTTGTAAAAAGAAAATTTCATATCTCATAATCTTGTTCAGTTATTCCCAATGGCCAAAATTAGTTAGGACTTTTTATTTTTCCATTTTGATTTTAGTTTTTTCATTTATGTAATTCTTTTTAATTTATAAAAGCAAAAGAATTGCAACTCCAATGAAAAAAAAATCAAAAAAATGATGCAAGAGATGAGAGATTAAACACCAAATTTATATTAGAAATTTGAGATACACCAATGAAGCAAATGATCTAGGATCTAAGAGAGGTTTAGAGAGATGAGAAAGATGTAAGAAGAGGGCAAACGATGTTGTAGCAGCGATAATGATGAACATGGAGATAGCCGTCGAAAGCAATTCTTTCTTCTTATTCTTCTTCTCTTTCTTTTTTTCTTACTTCTCAGCTTTAACCAGCTGCCTCCTTTTCAAAGTCTCACACTCCCCTCTCATAATAATGTATATATACGATAAATTTTAATCTAATCATAATCTAACAATCAAAATAAAAAGTTACAATATATTTAACATCTTACTAGTTTGACCCACTCAAACTGGAGATAGTTGAACCACTGACCTGGAAACCTGAAGCCAAAGTGGTTTCATATTCGGGACAGTTTATAAAACCTTGATTTTAGTCAAAAAAAGTTCCACAATCTTATTCATATTTTTATTAGTAGTGTAAATATAGAACTATATATGTATTCAATTTTTTCTATAATTTTTTTTTGTATTTTTGCATGTAAAAATAATTTTGGTATGTCATACTTAATTTTTGTTTAATATGATAAATATATGATATTATACATGTGTCTAAATGCTTTTTTTTGCAAATTTTATGTATTTTATTCATTTTTGTATTTTTACATTTTATTAATTTTTACTATTTGTTTATGACATTAAAGGTTAATAGATTTAACCCAAAAGTCGAACTATTTATTATTAATTTTTATATTTCATTTTTGGTCAATTCTAAAATATGTATTTCATTTTCATTATTAATAAAAAATTATTGTTTATTACACTTATTTTTTTAATTTGATCAATAAAAATATCATAAATGTGTCTAATTTTTTTTGCACTTTTAAAATTTTTATATTTATTTATATTTCAAAAATTGTATTACCTAGTTATGATTTCATAAGTTGATAAATTTGATTCTGATGGTTGAATTGCTTCGCCACCACTTGGATAAAGAATGGTTTTGTTTTTGAGATAGTTTTAAAACATATGAGTTTATATTGTTAAAAATATTGACATAAATCTAATTAGTAGTATTTATTAGCCAAAAATAACTTAAAAAATACATGATTTAATAATAAAAAAGGGGATTTAATACCTTAAGTGTAAAATTTGATGAGAGGGGATTAAATGAGGTGGAAAATAATAATTGAAGTTACATTTTTAACCCTTACAATTAGAGATGGATTAAATATACAAATATGGCCATTTTATTAGCTATTTAAACTGTAATAAAATAACTTTTATACCATTTTTCAAACAACAAAATAGAGAATAATTTTAGTTCAAAAAAATCTTTGCATCTACACTTTGATATATAATATAAATTCATTAAATATTTTGATTAATTAACAACATTAAAATTGAAAAGTAGCCATTAATATAATGAAGTGATTAAGTGCCATCAAGATGGCTTATTAATTGGGTAAGCATTAAATGGCCGCTTAGGATCACTATGAATGGTAGGTAAGCCTTCAAGTTGGCTTCTTAATAAAGGCGGTGGAGAAAACATGATTAGGGAAGGAATTGATTAGAAGCATCTTGTCACATTTATTTTGTACTTTCTTTGCATTTTCGGTTACTAGCAAATTGATATTTTGGAGTGAGGGATGGTTTACTGCTTATTGTGATTTTGGATACTGTAACACTAAATGGATGATACTATTCATCAACCGTTCGATCCCAATGCAAACAAGAAAAACTCATACATCTACAGCCATTCATTCGGGATTTTCTACTCACTTTTTCTATCTATTTTCTACCCAACGTGAGTTGGAGCCACAGATCTCTATTATGAATCGAGAGATGTGTTACTCCAATTCACTGCAGGTAGAGAGTGGATAGGAAAAGGGAATAGGAAATCTGGACTTACAACCATTCTATTTATGTACATCTGCAAGTGATTCAAGATTACAAATAGATTTCTTGTCCATTCGCGGGAAGCATGGATGGCTAGGGATATCTACTTGAGGGACGGTAGATGGCAATTATGATGTCTCTAAGAGGCTGAGAACAAGAATAAGAGAACTAAGGTATCAAACTAGCAGAGTTTACACTTTATACAAAGGCGGTGTTTGGCATCGATGTCGTTGCTCCAAAAAACAGTGACACATCAGTGTCACGTTAGAAAAATTGGTGCTCCAAAAAATGGTAACATGTTTGAAACTGTTTGTCTATAAAAAATGGTACTCCAAGACACCTTAGAAATCGAGAAGGCATTGTTTGGAGTAATACTGAATTCGACATTTTCTCAATTTGGAGCCAATTGCTGCCAATGAGGACATGATGTAACACTGACGTAGACTTCCTATAATGGGTATCAATGCTGAAAACAGATATGGAACAGTACTAGTACCAAACAAAAGGTGGTGTTGCTCCAGGAAACATCCTATCTAGCAACAACATTTCAAAAAAAAAAAAAGAAAGACATCATTTTCTCAGAAAATGGAGCTTCCAACCCACCTATATACAACACCGCTTTCTTTGGAACATCGATGCCAAACATATACAAAGTTTAAGGTAGAGTTTCATGTGGGGATTCTCAAAGATCCCCTATTTATAGAGATTGCCTTAGGGAAAGGGGGGGAACTTTTTTGCTTTGGGGAAGTTACCTCTGGTTTGTTGGATCTGAAACTAGGGGTGCAAATGGATTGATCATGATCCAATCTGATCCTATTTGGTGGAATTTGGATCACCCTTATTCGGATTTTTGGATCAGATAATAAGATTTGATCAGAAATCATATTAGATTTGAATCACCCCTATCCAATCCGAGAAGATCCGATCCAATATATGTTATATATTTATTTATATAAATATATATAATACATATATATTATTTATTTATTTATATTGTATTTTTATAAATTTGTTATATTATTTATTCTTATAAAAAACATGTATACATATGATGAAAATTATTAAAAAAAACTTATTTTTTGTTTTTTCTTTATTTAAATTGGTATATTTTATTTTTCTTTTAATAATTTATTAATTTTTAAAGAAAACAAATTGGATCGGATCAAACTTTTAGATCCATCTTACCAATAGGATTCGAATTCAGATTGAGGCCTATCAGATCCAATCGGATCTTCATATCAGGTCAGATCAGATCCACCATGAACAATGTTGGATCGGATTCGGATATACCTTTATTCAAATCTGATCCGATTCATTTGCATCCCTATCCAAAACTACCAAGTGCGTTAGAGTTTTTCCAAGTGCCCATACGATTACATAGGTACTAAAGTTCTCACTTCTTCCTAGAGTTTGTATGTGAGCACAAGTACCGCTACTCCCCCTTCTAGAAGTCATCTTTGAAATGCCTAAGTATTGAGTTAGGATCGTGTGATGAGGTTTGCATGGCTAGAACATGAGTGTGAGGCGAGGTTGTAGTGTTGCAATGGGGACAAACCAAGACACAATGGAGCTTTGACAAACCTACAATGGGGGAAACATGTTAAGAGCTGCGACATAATGCTCCCTTGAAAGGTTCAGTCGGTATTGTCACACCATGTTAAAGAACCATTCAATCTAAAAGCTTAAGTTGTTAGATGAGATCTCTAAATAGGTTTTTATTCTCTAACAAATTTGATAGTATATGCATATGCATAATATTTTTATCCCATGAATCTTAGATAGATCAAGTTTAAGTGGACTTAGATTGAATCTAATTATATAAAAAACTAGATTTATAGATAAAATTCAGTTTAGTCGCAATGGATTTTTGAATTTGAACTCAGACAATTGAGTATTTTTACCTTTCAAAAACATTTGTAGAAACACTGGTCTGAGATGGATGAGTAGAGAAAAATGGAAAGTATAGGATTTGAGGAGCTCAATAGGTGATAAAATAAAAGGAAGTAGAGCAATGGCTTGGTTACAGAAGACCATCAACAACACTTAGAAGAAATGATTTGTTGCAATTTAGAGGACTAAAAAAACTAGAGGTACACCAAAATAGATGGGTACAAGTAGTAAGAATGATTTAAGCACCAATAATTTAAGAAATTACTCTAGGAATAAAGTTGAAAGCACATTAAATTCAGTTCGGACATCCCTTTATCTGAATCGATTCAGTTCTCTAATATTTGGATTCCTTTAACATCCCTTAAATCCGAATTCAGTTGTAAAATTTGGATTCCATGACACACAAACACAAGCTTTTGCAAAACAAACAATCTTATCATTTGCAGAACTCTAAAACACGATAATTATAAGCCCTACAAACCATTTCACAACTTGAAAATGCAGAGCTCATTGCCAGAGCCTCAAATTCTTTGTATGACCTCTCTTTTCCTCCGGGATTTTGAGCTAACATTATTAAATCTGTGAAGGTAGTGTCAGAGAACATTTTAATCTCATCAGGAGCCTCTGGATCTGGAAGAATCAATTCCACAATGATAATCTTTCCAGACTTTGGAAGAGCTTTCCAACAGTTCTTTAATAGCTTCAAACAATGTTCATCACTCCAATCATGAAGTATGAGCTACAAATGTTTAAGAAAGGAAAAGAAACCCTTTAACCAATTGAATAATTCAAATCATACCCTTTGATTACAATTGAAAATAACCAGTTTACTAGCCAAATTTATTTTGGTATATGAACAATAACTCAATTAAAAATGCTTCCTGATTGTACTAAACCAAATTATAAATTGTAATAGAACAACTTGAGTCATTGGAAATTAACTTGTGAATTATAGCATACAGGCATGTAAATTTTAGGCCCCGTTTGGTTCGCATGAGTAGGGATTGGGAATTGGAATCGGAATGAGCCATTCCAATTCTGACTGTTTGGTTGGGCAGAATTAGAATCCCATTTYCATTTCTCCTGGAATGATATTCCTCCATTTGAGGGAATGACCATTCCTTGCCCCTCTCTTGGGAATGAAATTCCATTCTTGCTGATTTCAATTCTCATTCCCATTCCTGTCTAAACCAAACAGGCTATGGGAATAGACTATTCTGATTACAAACCAAATGGACCCTTAGTTTTTAAATTATCCCATTCTAAATATAAATTCATGTGAAATGAATTAGAAACTTGTATTTTTGTTCTTTTTGAAACTCTTAACTTGGTTTTCTAAAAACTGATTCATCATTTATAGTTCAAGTAAAATTGATATGATGCTTCAGTCCAAAAATGCTTATAAGGAATTATTTGATGGAAAAAAGAACCTACCTTCATAAAAATGGCATCTCCCTGTGGGACACTTTCAAACATATCCCCTCCAACATGTTCCACACCTGCCAAATAATCATAATTTTTTACAAAAAATACCAAAAACATGGATGCAAATAATAATAATAATAATAATAATGCAAAAAAAAAAAAGATAAATCATACCAGGATAAGATGATGCACCTGCCACAACATGAGGCAAATCGAAATTAATACCCTTAATTTGAGGATACTTAGATGTGATTAAGTTAAGTGCAACTCCAATTCCACCTCCAACATCAACCACCACTTTGAGACCTTCAAATCCCTTGTATGTTTCAAGAATCTTGTTCGTGACTATAACTGTGGCATCTGACATTGCCTTATTGAAAACTTTGTTGAACCGAGAATCTATTCTAGGGTATTCAAAAGCAGACATCCCATGGGCTTTATTAAAAGGAATCCCACCTTGAATAACAGTATCTCTCAAATGATACCTACAAAAACATTAACTGTTATTGAGCCCCTGACGCAATTTATATAGCAAAAATAAGAAATTTTGGGCCACAAAAATAGAGCATAAGTATAAATTTCATTTGGAGTGGTGTAAAATGCATGGGAATGCAAAAGGGCTAAGTATAAATTTTGGATTTCTTTTTTGCTTCAGGTATTGATTTTGTCTTATTTATTTGTGAGAAATAAAATAGGAAGTAAAAGAAAGTGACCTTCACTTTAAATGAAAGACAATGAAGACAGAATTTGCTTGCAGGTGAAGGAATCTAAGGAACATTATCTCAGGCTGCTTGCAGATGAAGGAGAAGCTGGAAGGTAGAATTTGCTACAGACAAACATGTGTATCGGGAGGCGAACCAAGAGGCGGATTGGCTGGTGAACAAGGCTCATTCTAATGGTGTTCTTTTTCTTAATCTTTGTTTTCTTCCTAAAAATTTAGCTTTTATTTGTTTTGGTGACTTTGTGGGGCGTGTTTCCCCTCTAGGGGAAGGAAGGAAGGTAAGATATTATGCAAGGTTATATGAAAAGACTTGAGATAGGAGGATGGTGGTGTAAATTTTACATCAACGCAAAAGAGACAAAAAACTTTGTATCAACTGATAAGAATGCAAATCATAATTACAAACAAACCAAAATAAATTTAGATACAAAATTTACACCCGATCAAAATTTGCATCGCAAGCAAATGCAGACTAAAACACTTGATGAGGGGTGATTTGGCTCGACCTACTAATGAGCAGACATATGGACGCGACCAGCTGACTAGACATTGACTCAGCACTTTTTGTCACCTCAACAAGCCAGGTCACCTCGGGTACCTCGGCCAGGACCGAGGTCCGAGCAACTCGTGATGGCCCTACCTACTAAGGTGACACATAGCCATCTTCTAGAAGCTATCAAGTTGTTTCCAAGCTCTTTGGGATCACGCCACACGTCTGTAGATCTTATCCATACCCCACCCGGATCGGATGGACTCGATAAGCCTTATCGGCTATCACGAAGTCCACCTCTTGGTGCGGAATGGTTTCCTAACAGTACAGGCCGAGAATCTCGGAGATGTTTCGTGAGACCTACGGCAATTCACCTATATAAGGGCATCTATCCCAATGACACAAGGTACGTGCGATTATTTGCTCTCTAACTCACTAGCATACAAGCATTCAGCTCGCACTATGATATATTGATTTAAAAATCAGAGCGACCACACTGGGTAAGGTCCTTTGAGCATCCATTCTCTTGCAGTTGGACTAACCAGCAAAGCAGACTGACGTCCAAACTGCCCTCCAACTAGAAACTTCCAGAGATCACACACCATCAACACTCCATATGAAAAACATATCAGTAGTGGGCTTTTGAGGATTCCCGATCTGCTGGAAATAAGATGTGTATGTGGTAGAATAATAGTTGGGTTGGTGTTTATATATAATATTTTCAGCAGATCCGAACTCGTCTTTGAGGCTATGTTTAGAAAATTGTGTACTGCGAAGTGAAACTCAGTTGAATTGAAAAAAGGTTTGGCTTTTTATGTAGCAAGTGCAAGTAAATGACAATTGTACGTGCACTGAGAATTTCAAGCACAAAATCAAATGAGATGGTTAAACGTCTTCTGGAAACATAATATGTAATATAGGCTACACACCCCAATCCAAACAAAGACATCAATGATCAACCAAAAAGTTCAGAGCATCTTATATTCTATCAAACCAAACATAAAGCTAGGATGGATTTCATACCAACTATCCATAAAGACTTTGTCCTGAAGCAGTAGAAGCAAAGGGGCAATCGAGACTCCATCCTGGTTCCGGGTGAGGAATTTGCAGACGGGTGCCAAGCCATAGCACCTTTCTACTTGACCATTCTCACGTTTGACAAGAGAGCAGTTCAGAACAGAACAAGAAGCAAGGAGACGCAGCATACGGTCGATCATGGTTGACGCATCTGGGTTGTATGTCTGCAGTTGTGATGCGATCTCTGAAGGCGAGAGATATGCATCAGGGCCAGCTGAAGATATGATCTCGAGCACGTCGAGCTCTATTGCTGCTTTCAACACCATGGGAAGCACAGAAGCTCTGGCCAATCGCATGGCGAAGGCAAAATTTTCTTCCTCTTTGTCTTGGACATTAATGGATTTTGCATCATCATGGGTTGAAGCCATGGGTGCTTTGGTTATGGTTTCTGCAAGGGAAGAAGCGAAAAACAATCTGAACTGTATGTAATTCAGACTTCTAGAGTGTTGGTTTAAAAGTGAAAGAAATTAAAAATGATTAATTTATAGGATGAGCAATTACTACGTAGTCAGAGAGTGCATTATGACACCGGAAAAGAATGAATTGGGTGCAGATATGGTATGTTCATCAATCCACGGTCAGAATTTATTCAAGCCCTAAGATTTTTAGGATGGATTTAACGGTTAAAACCACAATCTTTATTTTCTGTATATCATAGAGTTATATGTGATGGGAGATGAGGCCACGTCACCTGTGATGGGAGATGAGGCCATTCCTAGGCACAATCTACCACTAGGTCAATGGTGATGATGAGCTAACATTCTGTAGTAGGTATAATGATAAGGAAGAATGATGGTTCAACCGCCCAAGAAGCCTAAAATACAGTTGGGGTAGGTATGTATTGATATCAAGGTGTATAGAGTGGGATTTTTGACATTTTGAATGTTTATAGATCTATAGTGAAATTCAAAAATCTGCATTTGGTATTTTACCGTGATACCTTGATGCATTGCCAAATAAAATATTTAACTTTAGGATGAAAAATGCTTAAACCGCCAAAATTGTCTTTATAGGCCAAGTTAGTAATGATATATCCATGTGGCGTTTCAATCCTAAGACTCTGAACCAGCAAATCCTCCATGGGCCATGGCAAAGGTATATGTTAGGGCCGTACCCCAGCCTCTCCTACTGACCACACGGGAACTGATACGTGGTCTGATGTCTTTAGCCACATCAGTGACAAGGAGCGCCATGTCAGAATTGGTGATCGCACTGTCCAGCAAAGACTCCAAATGAGAGTGGAGAGTGGAGCACGCAGCACCCCACGCGCTCTTGACAACCATCCCGTGCTGAGGAACACAGACGCATTCAAAGACTTCGGATCTCGGCCTCTTCGACAAAACATCACTGATCACACGCCCCAGGAACAAGCTCAACCTTCTAAGTACATTCTTTGAGGAATTATTTTGGGACCTCTGACTTTATCTTATTACAGGTCCCGCTTGATGCATCACCTCGTCCTCCCAGCTCAGCTTGTCCGGGTTGTGGCAGGACTTTATCTTTAGGTACTCAGAATGTAAAACCTCAGTGCAGAGTTGTGATGGTCTGATGGAGACCATAACAAAAGGCTACAATAACTTCATAATAAGTGACAAATTCTTAAGCTACACAGCCCAAAAATCCTATCCACCCTTCTCATTGGCGACCCCATGTCTACTGCTCTCTAAGCTGTGTATAACGGGGGGGGTATTAGTAGCCACGTAGAATGAAGGAATAGGTTCAAGTGTACCTTTTAAGAGGACTTTCCGGGGCATGTGAGAGATGTTCATTCTCTTCCAGCCCCCAACATATGCTTCATTTTTTCTACTGTATTGTCCCATTCTTCCTTACAAGATCTTATTTGAGGTGAAACCAGACCCCAACCATCTTTCCGTTTTCTTCCTCATACTCACAAATTAGTTAGCAACTTCCGGATTCTTTGATGGGTGTTGGGTTGAACATTAGAAGACTTCCCAGTTCCCACAATATTTTGCCCCGATCACAAGAAAAATGTAGCAAGAGTCCCCAATGATAGAAAGTTCTTCATGTGAACTTCTACCAAAGACAAATATCATCAATAAAAGTAGATGATTAAGACTAACCATTTCTTAAACTTAACAAAATTAGGACTTAGTTTGGGTGCATAGTGGTCCCTCCGAGGCAGATGATGCTGCCGAAGAAGAGATTCTTCTTGAAGGCCTTCGAATTGCCAATAAGCAGCACCTTAGCTTAATTGCAGTGGAAGGGGATTGAAGGAATGTCATAACTTGGGTCTCTAGACAGGCTTTTGGACCTTGAAGTTCACTCATCTTTTGGCAGAAATTTGTGAGATTTCCTCTTGCTTGCGCTGTAGCTTCAGATGGATACCCTGAGAGATAAACCAACTGACTTTCTAGAAAAATCTGGGTTGGGAAGGGACTGTTTGTATAGTGTTAATATAATGCCAAGTAACTAGTGGGCTTTTGTCATTTGTTTTTTTGTTGGGAAGGTCTTGTACATCCCTTCCTCTTTTTTTGAACGAAATTTGTTATCTTCTTTAAAAAACAAACAGAAAAAAAAAAGACAATAACAATCCTCCCCAATTTAATTGCCATCAGAGAGCTTTGAGGGTATCTTAGATAATACATCAATACCTAGAAACACCCTTGTTTTGGTCCTTTTGAAGGACAAAATGGAGAAAGATACAGTGAACAAAACATTGGTCAATTAGGTGACAAAAAGAAGAGAAACCATGTAGTTGCAAAATCTGCAAAAACTCCTATTCCATATTATCGACTTTTAAAATAAAATTACCAAAGTTACCTCTCTTCTTCCGTAGAGAATGAGCCACCTTGGAAGCAATCACCTTGTTGTTAAGGATTTGATGACCCGGTGTAAATGCCGATCAATAAGGTGAGATTAGTCAGGGAAGCAACTTATTCAATCTATTGGTGAGAATCTTAGCAACTACTTCTTGAGTACATTGCTAAGATCAATAGACCAGAAATTATTTACATGTTTAACATCACCTTTCTTTGGAATTAGCATAATGTCTCATTCACCTCTCAAATCTCCTCTGGGTGCTTAAAGACATTCTGTACAAATCACCACATCTTGCCCCAGATCAGCCCAACATAGCACTCACCCCATCAAGGCCCAATTTCAACTGCCATAGATGCGTATGATTTTGCTGATTTAACAGTTTTTTGTTTTCCAAAACAAAATCACACACATTGGCAAACACAGTTGGATCTGCTACGACCTACCCACAAGGCAGCCACACATCGAGAAATTCTCCCATACTTGTTTGTTGTCATTCATGGGAAGATGTTCCCAATACACAAAATTGTAGTATCTTGGCAAACACGCCCTGAAATAGCGACTAGTAATATTTTTCATTTCTGACTATTGTATGATCAATAAACTATTAGCTAGACTCGGTCAAGAAGATTTGCTCAAACTAAACCATCTTTTGCACTAATTATGAGTTGATTCCAAATCGATTAGTCTCTTGGGTGGTGGAATGAATTAGACAATAGTCCAACTTTAGATTGGATGGTTGCATCATTTAGTATAATAAAATAATGAATAAGATCTCCTTGACAAATCCCATCACACGTCCTGATCTACATACACGTGCATCTCCTTTTGTGTCTATATTCAACGTTGAACTACAATATAACCAACATAAAATATAATATTTAAGCCCTTGCCCATACCCTTTACAATTTGAAGAACAGTTATAAACAATCATATTAAGAAAACTACCAATTTGAGAGTGAAGTACCTCCTACATCTTCATGACTCTTCTCCAAAGAGTGGTACAGAGTCCTTCCAGTATCGCTTGATGGAGTCAACAACTTTGACAGCCAGGGCTTCATCTTCTGGATAATAAGCAATGGGATCCAACAATAAAGGAGATGGGATGTTAAGAACACCTTCAAGGGTTGCATGAAGACAGTATGCGGAGTATGTAACATGGTATCCACCTTCCTGCACAATCAGGAGGCGCCCATCACAATGCTCATCAGCTAGTTTTCGCACTTTCCTTCCCATTTCTCGATAGCCTGTCATTGTCAAGCACTGCCTTCCATTGGGATCAAACTGAAAAAAAGAAATTACTAGAGTAACTCTAAGATAGTGCATGAGCATCCTTTGCCTTCAACATCAGTGATAATAAATGAACTTAATGAAAGAGAAATGGAGCATAATTATAGAGAACATCCAAGAAGGGTTTCAAAGATCAAGTATAAGATAGGCTCTACTTTCGTGGAATTGGAAGGTTTTACCAAGAAGCTGGAAAGGGAAGAAAACTAGAGGTCTTGAGAAGCAAAGAAATTTACTTTTTGCCACAATTTCTACTAACATAACATAAAAAAAAAAAAAAATGATTCAAGTTAGATCTGCATATCTCCATTAAATGAGGGAAACTGAGGTCTAAGTGGACAAACAGGATATGAAGAAAAGGAAGATAATTATACTTGGCTGGCTGGACATTGGCTGATTAGCGCTCTGCATGATAATTAGATGAGAATTAAGACACTTGACTATGGTCAACAAAGTCGATATGAAAAATCTAGCTTCATGGCTAACTCAACTTCAACAAGCAAGTCTTCTGAAACATATGGCCAAGCTAAGTTTCTCAAGGACATATTTATCTCCTAATGATAAAGGGGGTATTCACTGGCATTACAGGCCTACAGGAGCATTCTTGAAGGCTAGAAAGGCTTCAGCCAAGGATTAGATGAAACATGGGTACCTATTACATATTCACATTATGTGGCTCAATCCTTCAGCACAATCACAGCCCTTAGGGGCCGTTTGATAACAGCCGAAATAGCTAAACTGAAAAGCTTATTACTTTTTCCTTAGTGGCTGAAGCTGAAGTTGACTAGTGTACTGTACCCTTGAATGTTTTATGATTTAATTATTTTATCCACTAAAACGCAAACCAATAAGCCATTCAATTCAGCAACTTCAGCTGTTATCAAATGAACTCTTTCATTTGTCATCCAACCAATGAATTTCCATAAAAATCAACTATGGTTTTCCTCATGTCTGAGACAACATTTTTGCTACATCTAACTGCCATCATGACTAAAAAACCCTGGAGTTGGGGTTCCACCAAAATCACTTTTGTGAGGGAGTATGCTCTTCCTAGGAAAGGAAGAATAATGTGAAAATCCCCCCATCTACCCCCCCCCCCTAAACTTTTCTTTAAAGATATATGATAAAATATTCAGTTGAATGAAAAATCATTGGGATTTCTTCCAAACATTGGCACTCAAACTTGGCTGCTACCTTCCCTGCAAAAACAGAAAAATGCATAGAAATAAATGAACTCTTTACAAAATGCAAATTATGGAACCAGTCATTCTCTTGCTATCTCACTTTAATTCTGTCTCCTATATTGTCTCACTTGTCTATGGGTACTAAAGAATTTTGCATAAAAGCCATTGTTACATGGACATGAAATCAGAACCCAATATGTGCCTGAGAGTCTGACTTGGAGGAACAAAAAAATGAGGATTCACAGACATGTCAATTAACAAGTACAAATTATTAATATACTCCATACGTTGTTGAACTTTAACATTTTGTAGCAAAATTTTTTAAGAGATTATCTTTGTTAATAACATCTGTAGGAAAATGGCACTCTATGTATACATTTTTTATAGAAAACAGTGACTTTTGTTAAGGTAATAAAAGGTTAAGTGTACATACAAAGTATACAACCCATGATTAGTCTGGCATTCTGCCACCAAATCATCTTTATTTACATCTAATCCCAGAAAAATTGATCCATGTTTACTCCTTGTTTTGACAAAGGACCAGCCAATGAGTTTGCTGATCTTGGCATCCATCTAAGTCTCCTTGTCCAACTCCAATCAGCCCTGAACAAATGGCTAGAATATCACCTTGCACATTTCTTGTTACTCCAACCCCTGATAATCATGGGTTTCCCATACTACACCCACCAAAATTCTTGATTCAGTCTTGCATGCCTCCATTCAGCTTTAATGACAGACCTTGTTGAAAAATTTGCCACCCATTTCCATCCCCTTATGATGTCATCAATGAAAAAGAGGGAAACATGTGCATGGTCTTCATCCAATGTACTACTTTTGTTGTTACATTTTCTTTTATTGCTTCCTTGCTCCATTCCTTTTCCTTGAAGATCTGAGCATTCTCTTCCCATATGGTTCAAAACACTGCCACTCTAGTACACCTCCATATTATCTCTCCACTCATACAAGAAGGATTCATGACATTACTTGTCAAGTATTACCAGCTCAAAACAATATTTCTAAGTCAACAAATCAAAAGAAAAAAAGTAGGAAAAAGAGAGTGAAGAAGAGGAGAGAAGAATGAGAAAAATAATGAGAGGGAAGCAAAAGAGTGTACTCCTGCCCCCTGTTCATCTATTTATATTAAAATAATGATGCTGTACAAAGACCATTCTACACCTGTTCCGAATATGAAATAAAAATAGAGCACTACACAGAAGCTATAAGACACTAACAGAACAAATAAAAGAAACATAAAACAGCAACTAATAATAGGAAACATCTCACCAACATTCAATGTGTAAATTAACTGTTCGTTTGTGTCTAAAAGGAGAGAGAAAAAATGACAAATTGAAGTGTTCCTTAAAAATCCATGGAGTGTTCGAGTCTGGTGGTTTTCCAACATGGATACTTCATCCATCTAGGAGAGTCCATGCAACACTGATAATACAATATTACCTGTTATCTCCCCCTCTATTAAATGTCTCTCGTAAAAGAGTTTCCAGTCCTTGGACCCATCTAAATAAGGTGGTTATGCTGCAAGTCAAAACTCGCACCTCTCTAATAGAATGAATGAACATCCAAGGGCTAGATATCTCTTCCCTCTTCCACCCTACCTTAGAGTCTCCTTCAATCTCCAACACCTCAATGAAACTGCATACCTCAATCCCTGGAGTAAAGAAAGCAGCCCAGCCTGCACTAACTTTTCATGGATAAAAAATTTTTACCACCACAATTATCATGGCATTATGAAGAAATTTTCTCTTCACAATAGCAGTTGGAAGTGTTTTATAAATTAGGCAGGAAGTGTCATGCTTAGTTATTCAGGTACAGCAGGTGATGGGGCCTTTTTGGGGGCTGAAGTGCTTGCCCTCCTAAAGAGATTAAAATTGGCCTACTCATTGTATTGGACTAACTTGATTGTCGAAGTAGATTGACAGGTTGTTAGATGATTACCCTCAAGGGCAGAAGGCCCCTGACTCGTAAGGCACTTGATAAGGGAAGTTAAGCATTGAGAACCAACATGAACTGATCATTCAGATGGACCCTAGATCTGCCAACAGCTTTTCTGATTTAATTTCTCCCACTCACATGATTCAGTTGGACTCTTGCCATTTTCCAATATAAAAGTGTCATATATGCCATTCACCTTGCATTATAGTTTTTGAATGTAAAAACTCCGAAATTCCAAAACCCCTATTACTAGTATTCCAAATAACTTCCATGAAAGCCCTATTCCATACTTCCACCCATTCAAGGTCAGCAAAACAAATCATAGTTGGAATGGTTGGAATGTTGGAAAACAAGTGTTTTTAACCAACTCCAAAAAATAATCAATTTCTGACTTGATTAAATTGAGTATTTGAGTCTTCCAAGAAAATGCTTTCATTAATTTCTTGAAGATAGTTGAAGCCTGCCAAAGATTAATGCCAAGTATGTAGCTAAGACCCTATTCCAGCTAAATAGACTTGATTATTTTATGCTAGAAATTGCAGATTGAACAAGAGAAGTTCCACTTCTTGAATGCCAAAGAAAGTTGTCGGACTTGTCTTCAAATGATATATTGTTCTACACTTTCCATGAGGTACTCAAAATTCCAAGCCCATAGAATGGGTTGACAGGGATGCTGTAGAATCATAACCAAAAGCTATATCCAGGTATGTGTGTGTATGTGTGTGGTCTTCATTGCCTATTGTTAGTGTAGGGGTATTTCTGTCTTTATACTTATATTAAGGTTGCTGATCTGTAATGTTATGTTAGAACCAGTGCTCCTTACTTAAATAAGGGCACATATGTCTTTTCCACTATTTTTAATAATAAAAGCACATGTCTGGCCGAATGGGAGTAGTGGCTTCCAGTTCGAACCAGACTTTTCTCCTTTTCTCTCTCTCTTTCTTCCACCTTTCTACCTCTTTCTACGTAACTGATCTCAGACAAACAGAACTCCAAGGCAGGCCGAATCATAACATGGTATCAGAGCCAAACTAAGCAACTCGAATCTGCCTAGATTTCTGTTCTCTGCACACCCAATCTAGGGTTTTCTCTTGATTTTCCTGTTATCAAGTGAAGATAAGGGAAAGGGCTGAAAAGGAGTGATCGCCCTCTTCCCTTGGAGGTTTCTATGCCTCCAGTTGTGTCTTGTGTGGTCGGTTGCTGTGGTTTC